GTGTGTGTTGGCATGTAAACACCACCAGTCAAAAGTTATGAATAAATAATAAAATATTTAATGTTTATATTTTATAAAGAATGCTTTTATGCTCACTATGGCTGTATTTATTGAATCATAATACAATAAATTTAAAGTAACTTTTCTATTTTAATTTTAAAATGTAATTTATTCCTGTGAGGGCAAAGCTGAATTTTCAGCATTCATTTCTCCAGTCTTCGGTGTCACATGATCCTTCAGAAATCATTTTAATATGCTGATTTGGCAGTCAAGAAATATTTCTTATTATCAGTGTGGAAAATTGTGCAGCCTAAACATTTTGTGGAAACTGTGATACACTACCATTCCAAAGTTCAGTGTAAAGTAAAGTAATATAAAGTAAAATAAAATAAATACTTTTATTCAGCAAGAACATATTAAATTGATCAAAAGTGGCGAACAAAACTTTTATAATGTTACAAAAAATCTATATAAAATAAATGCGTATTAGATTGATTTCTGAAGGATCATGTGACACTGAAGACTGGAGTAAAGGCTGTTGAAAATTAAAATAGAAAACAGTTATTTAAAAAAATTCCCAGCGGGACTTGATCTCAATTTGACATCAAATATTAGTCAAGAGTTGATCAAGATGCTGTAACATCACTTCAAATTCAGTCTGAATGGCAATTTCTTCCAGTGGTAACTGGGTTAAAATAGGAAGTTAATCCCACACTGAAATTGGTTTAATTGGTTTATACATATATATGTAGGCCAATATGTTTGACGTTCAATTTATATCAAATCAATGTCATGTCAATTTTTTGACATCAGTTTGATTTCCATATTAGACATAATTTTTTTTAGTGTCAGTTTGATGTCTTTTCAACATCAATTGCCCACTGGGTTGTAGTATTTCATAATATTACCATTTTACTGTATTTTTGCAGCCTTGCTCTAGTGTACATATATGTTCATTAAAAAAAAAAATCTTATCCAGTGGTGTGGATAAACCCCACAAATGAAGACTAACTGGGTGTGTTTTTTTTTCCCCTAACAGCCAATCAGGAACACTGGAGAAAAGGCCAGAGACGTTTAATGTTCAAAACTGCTCTCTAATCACAGTCAGTGTGGCAGGACTGAATAAACATCCGCAATCAGAGTCTTTCATTCTCGTGCTTATCATTTCAGGCCAAGAAGCAAAAGATGTTCTGGATTGCTTTGAATTAAACTATGAGCCTGTGGTCTAATGTGTGTTATATATAGAGAAAGAGACCGGTGAGTTGTCACAAAGGACTGGATCTCAGTAACTATAAAGTTTTGAGTCTCATCATAAAAACATGTTTTTGTTAGCAGTGAACATATATGTGGGTTACGGACACCTAGTTTTATTCCTAGATTTTTTATTTTTTTTTTGTGAATTCTGTTCTCCAAATTAATATTCTAATAGCATATTTTTTAAAAACTGTTGAGGAGACAACAACACTGGCACATAATCAAACAAGAGGCAGCTATATGATAGAACAGGTTTTTAAAACAAGAGTATTTTGTTCTTCAACAGGTTGGTTGTCACATTCATATTGGCGCAAATTACAAAAACCAAAACATTTAGTGTATGTTCTCATGTTGTATTTCATAACTGGTTTTACTAGTTCAATTGTGGAGCATGTTGTCATAAAATGTCAATGTGTGTTCTATATATATCATGAACCATCTATTTTTACATGGGCGCAAATTACAAAAACCAAAACATTTTGTGTATGTTCTCATTTTGTATTTCATAATTGGTTTTACTAGTTCAGTTGTAGAGCATGTTGTCATAAAATATCATTGTGTGTTCTATATATATATCATGAACCATATATCTTACATGAGCGACAACATGTAACATGTTTTTGTAGTTAAGACTTACACAGATTTGACAACTAGTCTCGGTCTCACCTGTATACTGTATGTAATCTGTGCGTTTGAGAGAGAATAACGTCAAATAACTATAGCATAAAATAATTCTGCATTTATAGACAGAAAGGGCAACACAATTTGAAGCCCAAATCTCTTTTTTTTTTTAAGTCTTTTCAGCACTTTGTATTGGTTTATGGCAATATGGTGTTTAGGAAACTATCCAATGGGCTACACAGGTTCAGAAAAAAAGTATATTTATATTTTATATATATATATATATAGTTATTTGAAGCTTATAAAGAGAACAGTACACACTTGCACACATGAAGATAACCACAATGTTAGATGAAGTATCCGTAGGCCAATGAGAGGACAGAATCGTCTTTTTTTTTTTTTGTTCTTGGGCTGCTCTTTGTACAGTATGTTTGTACAGTGTGTATGCATGTGTGTTTGTGTGTGTGCGTGTCGAAATGGGTAAAGGGCTCAGATAGTTGGTATAGTTTACAGTGGACTGTAAACAGAGACACATTGATCATAGAGCGGAGAGAGTGAGGAAACAACCATGTCCATTGATCATTCATTTTTCTCCTTTTGTCTCTCCATCACTCCTAATCCTCTTTTTGAGCTCTCTCCCTCTGTTCTTCCCTCTTCCCGTCCAGTTTTTTGGAGGAGATTTGGCAAGGTTTCTCAGTCCTGCTGAGAATGCTCAGGGTCCTTACGTCATCAGATCGGATCCTGTTTAATCTGTTTCAGACGTCCTACAGAGCTGGGAACGACCAGATCGGCCGTGATTGAGTTCAATTTTTAAAAAAAAAACAAAATGAAAATTTATAAAAGAAACCCTTGATGCTTTTGGCCGGTTGCATTACTGTGCAAACTCATGCTTTTTCAGGAATGTCCACTCGGAAGGTGCTAGGAAATCCTTTTGCGTGCTATAGGGCAAAAAAACAGGAGAATGTGAATCGTTAAAATCAGATTCTTACCAGTCCAAACATTCATTTTCCCAAATTGAGTTTGATCTCACAAGGAAAAGCATCAGCTACATTTATCCATTCACCACAAAAACATCACTGTTATATTTTGGACAATTACATAAAAACATAAATCAGATCATGTGTTTGAGTGAAAACTGTATAAATGATCTTTTGTGTGATTATTCAGTCAAATATTGCATGTAAAATGCATCTTATATCCATTGTGTGGTCCTGAAAAAAAAATAAAAAATAAAAAAATAAAATATATAAGGTTCGTCATATCCACATGTCTGGAAGAATACAAACACATGCACATGCACACTTAGTCTCCGTCCCACAGTGTACACTTGTCCATGCTTTAGTGCAGTAGTAGTACTGCATTAAAACAAATGCAGTAACAAGATGCTGGATGCCTCAGCGGCTGTGAGCGTACACTACCACAGTTTGCATGCTATAATCAGAGGTGAGGAGGCAGGGCGCTATGACTGTCACAAGTGTGATTACAGTAGAGCAGTGGCATATGGTGATTAGAACAGACATAGATGGAAAAACACAGGCAGATAATGTTGGATTTTGTAGGATGTATATGAAAGCTGAGAAATAACCACTGCCATTCCATATGGCATGCTGTGTATTTCTGTTTATTATGGCATAAACGTGCTGCATGATGGATACAATGGCTGAAAATGTCATCATCATGATTATGTGAGATGCAGAACCATGTGATGTTGTATAGACATACCATGTCTCTTACATGATTATGATGAAGATAAATTTCAGCTCAAGGAAAAGTCACAGCACAAAGTATGTGTTATGTAGGTTTGGATGACAAATTAGTTACAAATTCAGCATTCATGAGCCAAATTTGTAATGGTTTTTCACCAGTGTCTTCAGATGCTTTGGGGAGAATTTAGAGGGCCGGGAGAGGACAAAATGTTGGACACAACTCCACAAATTCACTCAAAAAAGTCCTTTATTGATATGTCCATATATTATACATGTATGTTTTTTGTCATTTTGCTTTTGAAGGAAAGGGGAAAACTAATTGGAAAGTGAGAGAATAGGTCAACAAAGGGTGTTTTGAGAAATGAGATTACATATATATTTTTTTATATAAATAGTTCTATACAAACAGGGCCAAGGGTTAGATTTGGAAGAGATGACGGCAGTGGATCAGATCTGGGGGGGGTTCAGAAATCGTACATTTTGAGTGAGTACTCACACAGATAGTTGGGTTTGTAAGGCGCTCGGGCGCTTGGTAAGAGTGTGTGTAGCTCGTGGCGTGTGAGTGTGCCGTGGTGTGACTTGTCTTTGCCGAACGTAGAGAATGATCTATCATCGGCCCGATTGCACGCATCGCCCGGAACCATGCTCTCCTGTACCTCAGTGTCTGGCACCGCGTCCATTCCTGGGACATGCAGGTTGCTACGGTAGTCTGCACCCTGGCGACTGTCGCCAGGCATGAAGGAGGGCATCCAGCATCGGTCGGAGTGACCCAGAGCCTTGCACTCTTCAGTGCAGTTGGAGAAAAGATCTGCTCCTGTAAAAGACAGAGGAACGATGAGAGGAAATATTACAATATATATATACAATATATAATTAATGGTGTTACTATTTTTGCAATATTTAAAAGTATAGTTAAAGCAAAAATGAAATTTCTGTCATCATTTACTGGTGTAAATGTCATTCCAAACCTGTATGACTTTCTTTTGTAGACAGAAAGTAATAGATCCATGAAATGAACAAAACAATAAAAATAAATAAAAAATAAATCAAACTATCGACAGATTTAAAATGACATGAAGCTGAATAAATGACAGAATTTAAACTTTTGATGAACATTCACTTTAAGCTTAGAAATCTTAGTATTAATTATCTTTATTACTGTAATTATTTTTTCTAAGCAGTTGGAGGCACAAATTTTGAGTTTTGAGCCATATCTAGGTCCAGAATATATACAGGTGCATCTCAATAAATTAGAATGTCGTGGAAAAGTTCATTTATTTCAGTAATTCAACTCAAATTGTGAAACTCGTGTATTAAATAAATTCAGTGCACACAGACTGAAGTAGTTTAAGTCTTTGGTTCTTTTAATTGTGATGATTTTGGCTCACATTTAACAAAAACCCACCAATTCACTATCTCAACAAATTAGAATACTTCATAAGACCAATTGAATTACTGAAATAAATGAAATGAAATAATAAAACTTTTCCACGACATTCTAATTTATTGAGATGCACCTGTAGGTGATTATAATTATGATCTCTAGCAAAATGCAGGTAAGTTTTATACATGTAAGCACCACTGGCATCTGTTTTTTTTTTTGTGTAATGTTTCAGAATATCTTTGATATAAAAGCAAAATGACCATGTATAATGCAAAAAATGAACTAAATTAGCATGTGCGTGGGAGCGTCAATGTCTCCATGTCTGTGTTCCGAGATCTATTTAGCAAAAAAATTTTTTGTGGAGGCTACACGCTTCCTCACACCAAAATCTTCTCCTTTCACTTTATCTGCTGCTCTTCTGTGTAACAATCCGATGTCAACAGTAACACAAAGGCAAAATTACTATGAATTATCCAGAGCGCGGAGTCTGAAATTATTCATATTTGAATGGAGATGATTATTTAACCAGACAGATTGCAAGCTTTTTACTCGTTTTATAATCAACTGCAGTCATTGTCAGGCTTCAGCAAAGCACGGTAATTGACAGGAAGGCGGCCCACTGAAAGAAGGATAGTTATGTACACAAAGCAGTGAACTCTCCAGCCCTTTGTTTCTCCCTCCCTGCCTCTCCGTGTCCCTCCCACTAACCGATATTAAACGAATCTGCTGTGATGTTTTCATGCTCTTTTCATGCTGTTAAATTCACCGTGTCTCTCATTTGCCGGTCTCTCAAGTCCTTCGTACAAACACTAGGCAACGCAACCAAAACTAACAACACTGGGAGAAACCGTCCTCCAAACGCACAAGCTCACACATACACACCCTTGCTTTCTGACTAATGACTACACAGAGCATGATAATTAGCCAGTTTCAGAGGAAAAGAACGAGATCGGAGCTTGAAAGGGAAATAAATGAAAGAGAAGGGCAGAGAGCAGGTGGCGTCACACTGAACTCTAATAAAGGCCTCTGGATTCAACCCCAGCATGAGATGCAGTGATACAGGGAGCTTGGAGACCAATTCAGAATTTGGATGGAGAAGATGACCACATTAATAAAGAAATCACAGTTATGGCTTAGTGGTTATGTGCTCGACATCACAATCTCATGGCAATTCATATTTGTGGCTAATTTGTATGAATTTGACATGATCTGCTTACGCCCCAGTGATAGTTATGTTCAGGGATGGACCTTCATGCTTACTTTTTGTACAACAATTCAGAACTATTTATGTTTTGGTAAATTGGTGGTTAATTTGTATACTCTCATTTGTGTTTTCATACGATCTGTCTTAGTGATGGTTATGTTTAAGGCTGGACCTTCATGTTTACTTATTTCTAAAAAATTATTCATTTCTGCAAATTGCAAATTAGTGGCTAATTCATATGAATCTGATATAATTTAATTTGTACTTGGACCTTCTTGCTTACTTTTCATACAGCAATTTGTCACTACTTCGTGGCTAATTCCTATGAATTCGTATACTGTCTCATTCGTACATTTTTGTACATCTGTTTATGCCCCAGTGACGATTATGTTTAGGGTGGACCCCCACGCTTACTTTTTTCAGAAAATAATCTTGTACAATAGTTTGTAACTATTAATGTTTTGCCAAATTGTTGGCTAATTCATATGAGTTCGATATAATTTCATCTGTACTTTTTCATGTGATCTGCTTACTCCCCACTGATGCTTAAGAGTGGACATTCATGCTTACTTTATTTCTAAAAATCATACTTTTTTTTTTTTGTACAGGTCACACTGAAATTTCCACCTTGTAAAATACTTTTATTTTCCTGTGAGGTTGGGTTGGCTTTAAAACATTGAGTTTGGTGCTCATGAGGAAGAAGCTTGAGTCCACCACATGTTCCTGGGCTAACAAAGTTGTTAAAAACTTGTCATTTCCCTCTATTTTTTTTTTTTCTATTTTTTTTTTTTGTAGTTAATGGTAGGTATCTTACCTGTGGGTCCTAATCAACAGACTAGGAACAGCACTAGTAAAATATATTCTAAGCTTAAGATTAAGGTAAGGGATATAATAGTTTGGACTAGGAGAAAAGGTAGAGCAGGGATCAGGGTTAAGCCTGGTTTACATTGTCGCATTCACCCTGGCATGACCCATCACATGTGCATGTGCACTTCACAGCATTTATACCTCATGTGCACTGTATTGTGCAATTCTCTACTAAGGAGTGTTATTTTTATTCAATAAACTATGTATATAAAGGGAATTTCACAGGCAATTTCACAGTGCAGGCAGAAACATTGTGTTTTAAAATAATTTGAAGTCATTCTCTACCTTAAAAAGTCCAATACAGGTCCATCTGCTCAACCAACCTTTGGTTTGCTGCATACAAAAATTGCAAGCACCCATTGATATCACTGTTAGTGTGCACACCTTTTCAGTTGTGCAGATGCATCAAGCATAAACCTGAACATGGGTTTGAATTTGGATGGGGTTTGGACTATGTTTATTTGATAGAACTCTTGTTCCAGGACCAACAAAACATGATCCAGGAGCATAGTCTGCAAAATAACAGTCAAGGTGAGCAGAATAATATGGTATGGTGTGATCTATTATTCAGCACCTGCATGCCCTGTCTTAATATATTACATGAAATATTAAACTTCTAATTTTTTTTTAATAAAACATGGAAATCATATTAGTTCTTTCATCATACTATCACTATGAAATAAGGTATTACTATGTCATTAGGTGTGCTGTGCTAATGTCTAATAAGAACATTGTTTTAATTGGTAAACACTTGTCAGTTATTTTGTAGTTTTTGCCTCTGTACACAATATCACTTTCTATCCTGTTAGTGTTTTTAATAGACTAAAATTTAAGTGCTACATGACGCCATATTTTGAAACGTGATATTTCATATACTGAAACAACATTATAGTAATGAGATCCAGCAGCTTTAAATACCTTTACTGTAGAGTTGGATCATATCAATATTGTCCTGTCATGTGACACTTCCTCAAAATTTTATTTTGTGCTTATTTATTTTATAATTTCCATACACTGCACTGCACTGGAAGTTCCGGTGGCCACAGAGGCTAAATGCGAAAGCAATTATTGTTCACAATGTCCATTACAAAGAGCCAGGTCCTTAATAATATTATCCTTCAGAAGGTTATATAACTTTGGTAGGAAAGCAGCAGCACAAACATCTTTAAGTATTAGCAATGAATTTGGTGAATTCTGTGACATTTTGTGGCATTAATTGGCTTATTTCACTTTAAAATATTCAATCTTGTTTGATTAAAGTACAGAAATCATTGTGATAATATAACTAGTTTTAAAGGATGCATGCATCAGTCTGTAAATTGTTAGTCCCTCACTGATCTAGGCCTACATTTCAATCCTGTTGTGTAATAAATAATCAAGTTATAATTGATTAAAGTACCTAGGCCTGAGTGTATTTCTGCACATCTTCTATATATTTCAATACAATTCTTTCTTAAAATACAAGAATACATTTTTTAAGTTACAGTGTTCCATAAAAAGAATGACCCATATAAGAGTGAAAGAGTAGGAGCAGGTACAGTGATGCACCAAGGTCAGATTCAAACAGGTACAATGAGGGAGACCAATTTAAGAGAGAAAATGTGAAGTGAAGGAAAAAGGTGGTGAGGATGAAAGAGTCTGTAGGTTGATATGGGATATTTGAGACAAATGTAAAGACAAAGGCTGACCGAGGAGGAGAGGGAGGGGGTGGATGCATGTCAGGCCAATCTCTAATCTCTAATTCCTTGTGGCAGAAGCTTTTTCTGAGTGAGATCAAAGGACAAATCTGCCCTTCTGATAAACCTGAACGAGTGTGTGTGTATTGATGCTTAAATGAACACACAGGGGAATGATGTTTTATTCGTGTAGAACTGTTGTAATGATTTGCATAGGTGACCAGGAAACATTCCATTAGCGTGGCTTTGGGACCTGCAGATATATGCATAAAGTGCTGGAGATGAAATAGACTGACCCATAGTTCGGAGCTTATTAGTATCGCTATAAGGGACTCTAAAAGATGATGCAGCATTATTTAGTGATCAAAGTGTCTGGCTATGTTGTGTACAAAAAAAAAATCAGCTTGTTTGTAATGGCTCTTTCATTTACTGGACAGCACAGAAAATGCAAGATAATTGGTGATGAGGCTTTCTGGATTGCGCGTATACAGTTAGTTACCCTCCAGACATAAACACACTAAAAGCAGGACATGATACACCCAAGCCTGTTCTTTTATCACTTATAGGTTGCTCTTTTTTATTTAAATATCATATCATTTATCAAATCTGACTCAAATTTCTTAGGAGGAAAAAGATGGTGTTAACAAAGTAAGAATAGAATTATAAAATGCTAAAAGATACTT